TGCGTAAAACACGTAACAAAGTCAAAACCAAAGCTAGACAGTACATCCTGTAACCCAAACACGATGAGCATGGAGGTGGAGAACGGAGGCAGCAGATGGCAAGAACAGGCAGGAGCCTGGGCAGTCCCGCAGTGCCATATAAACCTCGGCTCCACGTGGCAGGCAAGCTCAAGCAGTGTCACCACAGAATACACATCATGTCCCTGTTTCCCAACCAAGAAGCCATCATCAAGAACTTTGGAGCTGCACCACAGCCAAGAGGAGTCAGGCTTCTTTTACTTGAAGGTCTGCTAAGATCATTATAACTCCAGGCAAAGTATGAAAATATGAAGGAATCAACCAAACACAGTATCAATGAACTATTAGGAGAATATAACTAATTGACTTTGTAAAAAACATCTAAGACAGTGGTCGGCAAACTCATTAGTCAACAGAGCCAAATATCAACAGTACAACGATTGAAATTTCTTTTGAGAGCCAAATTTTTTAAACTTAAACTATATAGGTAGGTACATTGTTATTAACTTAATTAGGGTACTCCTAAGGCTTAGGAAGAGCCACACTCAAGGGGCCAAAAAGCCGCATGTGGCTCACGAGCCGCAGTTTGCCGACCACGGATCTAAGAGAATCTGATATTAAATGAGGCAGCCAGCAGTACATATCCTCTAGCTGGAACGGGAGCCCAAAGTGCCACATTTACTTATAGAAAACTGTTTTCTCCAACACCCTATGGCTCTGCAGTAAGTCAAGTGTGCCTTATACATTTTATAAATACTCCATCTCACAGGAGGTACCAAAGGTTTGGACCATGCTCTGAGGTTCAGTCAGTACTTTAATAATTTGTCCCTATAAGCAAAGTATATAATCATAACAGAAGTACATTCAAAGTCAATTACTTACCTGGAGATCAGCAGAAACTTTTTTAAAATTTTTATTGACTAAGGTATTACATATGTGTCCTTATCCCCCATTGCCCCTCCACCCCCCATCCCCACTCATGCCCTCACCTCCCTGGTGTCTGTGTCCATTGGTTAGGCTTATTAGGTGTATCGGTTAATAATGTGGATTTTTGTAATCAAAGAAAACACGATAATTTCAAGAGAAACATCAAAAGTGCTTTATTCAAAGTAATGTCCATCGCTAGCTACACATTTCCCCCATCTTTCAGGTAATTTGTGGATACCGTCCCAATAGAACTTTTCTTGTTTTGAAGCAAACCATTCAGAGACCCAATTTTCCACTTCTTCCTACGTTTTGAAGTGCTGCTCAGAAAGTGTGTGTGTGCCTTCGATCAGAACAAATGGTAATCTGAAAGAGCAAGGTCTGGGGAATACAGCGGGTGGGTTAATATTTCCCAGGCAGGATCTTTTAATTGGTTTTGAAGTGTGTGATGGTGCGTTATCATGAAGCAAAATTACTTTGCCGTGTCTTCTGGCACATTCTGGTCATTTCACAATCAAAGCGTGGTTCGAACTGATCATTTGTTGTCGGTAGCGATCAGTATTAACGGTTTCACCTGGTTTTAGAAGCGCACAATACACCACACCTTCCTGATCCCACCAAACGCAGAGCATTGTCTTCTTTCAGAAGCGATTTGGCCTTGCAGTCGATGTTGATGGTTGACCTGGATCAACCCATGATTTTGTGCATTTGGGATTCTCAAAATAAATCCACTTTTCATTGCCAGTCACAATTCGATGCAAAAAGACTTTCTTTCGTGCCACTGAAGCAACATTTTACTGATGACTTTTTGGTTTTCCATTTGTCTTTCGTTCAGTTGATGTGGCACCCATTTTCCTTCCTTTAAAATCTTTCCCATTGCTTCTAAACGATCGGAAATTGTTTGCTGAGCAACCTTTAATCTTTCTGCAAGTTGTTTTTGAGTTTGACAGACATCTTCATCTAATAATGCTTGTAATTGTTGGTCTTCAAACTTTTTCGGTTGACCTGGACGTTCTTTGTCTTTCACATCGAAATCATCACTTTTAAAGTGTTTAAACCAGCGTTCACAAGTATCTTGAGATGGAGCATGTTCACCATAAGCTTCCCGAAGTATACGATAACTTTCAGCAGCACTTTTCTTCAAAATAAATGAAAACTTCCTGCAAATGCTCTTTTTTTGGGCACGAAATTCAACATTTTTAAGCGTAAAAATATCTATGATGTTAACACCTTCAGAAAATTTGACACATGAAGTTTTGAAGCTTGTTGTCAATACAACAAAATAGCTTACATATCAAATCGCATATATATCAACATATGTGTAACTCCATCTATTGAAAAAAATCTGCGTTATTTACCGGTACACCTAGTATATGCATGCATGCAAGTCCTGTGGTTGATCTCTCACCCTTACCTCCACCCTCCCCTACCTTCCCTCTGAGGTTCGACGGTCTGATCGATGCTTCTCTGTCTCTGGATCTTTTTTTGTTCATCAGTTTATGTTGTTCATTATACCCCACAAATGAGTGAGATCATGTGATATTTATCTTTCTCTGACTGGCTTATATGGCTTAGCATAACGTTCTCCAGTTCCATCCATGCTGTTGCAAATGGTAAGAATTCCTTCTTTTTTACAGCAGCGTGGTATTCCATTGTGTAGATGTACCACAGTTTTTTAAGACACTCATCTGCTGATGGGCACTTAGGCTGTTTCCAAATCTTAGCTATGGTAAATTGTGCTGCTATGAACATAGGGGTGCATATGTCTTTTCTGACTGGTGTTTTAGTTTTTTGGGATATATTCCTAGAAGTGGGATCACTGGGTCAAATGGGAGTTCCATTTTTAGTTTTTTGAGGAAACTCCATACTGTTCTCTACAGTGGCTGCACCAGTCTGCATTCCCACCAGCAGTGCACAAGGGTTCCTTTTTCTCTGCATCCTCGCCAGCACTTGTCATTTGTTGATGATAGTCATTCTGACAGGTGTGAGATGGTACCACATTCAAAAAGTATCTATTTAGGTCCGTTGCCCATTTTTTTATTGGGTTATCTTCCTTTTGTTAAGTTCTATGAGTTCCCTGTAAATGTTGGAGATTAAACCCTTATCAGTGATATCATTGACAAATATGTTCTCCCAGGCAGTGGGCTTTCTTGCTGTTTTGTTAATGGTTTCTTTTGCTGTACAGAAGCTTTTTATTTTGATGTAGTCCCATTTGTTTATTTTCTCTTTAGTTTCCATTGCCCTAGGAGCTATATCGGTGAAGATATTGCTTCGGCATATGTCTGAGATTTTGCTGCCTGTGGATTCCTCTAGAGCAGAAACTTTTTGTCCTCAAAGGCAGTGGTAAATGGGAAAGAGGTCAGTCACCAGGCTGAGGCCCATCACGATCCATGATAGGCCTGGACTGTCCTCACCAGCTAGGCCAGTTACACTATGCGTGAGAGCTGTACACACAGAGCACTGAGCACCTCACTGGGTTCTCATTACACAGTCAAGGGGGAAATGCTCCTTGGGCTTCCAGGGTCATCCTTGAGTGCAGAGCCTCAGGCCCAGGACTGAAGAGAAGCAGGACTGTGTGACCTGAAGGAACATACGTAAGAGTAGGGAAGCAGAAGGAGTCAGCGCTTCACACAGAGTCCTGAGCACTACAGCACTGTTGCAATCTACCTGGCCATATGCCTGCTAGGTGGCCATCACTGCCCCCACAGGATGAAGGGAGAACACTACCTATGCCCTGCCCCCACAACACCTGTTCCCCCCTTCCCCCAACAGTGTGTAAATCAGACTAACATGGACCTGTTTCCAGGCCTCATCTAAACCTGTGTGCCCAGCCGTATGTCAAGCAAGGCTCAAGGAAACAATTTAAGAGGCACACAGGACAGTGACAGATGTTGTTTTTAATTCATAACTGACAAATGAACTACTGAATAAAATGTCAAACATGAAGTTTTTAAATAACAAAATGTGATGGATTGATTCATGGACCTGGAAAAATGTTATTATACATCACATGTTTCTGGATGAAAGACGATCCAGCAAAGGCACCAACATATCTGTCACATAAAGGTTTTTGGCACAGTCCATTGCTTCTTTTCAGTAGGCAGAACCTCAATTCTGGGAGGTATCATAAGTGACATCCAAGAGCAGTGAGGAGTTTCCCAAAGGGTCAGCCTCAATGGCTGAGGGGACTGGGCACAGCAGGCAGGAGGTGTCTGCGAGTCCACAGGAAAAGGGGGCCCTGAAGACCTGGGTGTGACCACCATCAGACAGACAACCCTGTTCTCACTCTTGGAGGGCCTTAACACAATGAAGATGGCCTCAGGAGCACTTGCCAAGACAAGTTATCTTCAGCTCGAGCTTCCTCACTGCTTACTGAACAAGTGTTCAGGCCATGGAGAGAAGTTCCCCAAAGACAATGAGAAGGTTAAGTTTAATGAGACTTGTTTATAAACATGTGTTTCTGAGAGCTTTCTTTTCTTTTCATCAAAGTGGTATCTTTGATTTAAAAAAAAAAAAAAAAAAGGTCTCCAGAACAGATCTTCAAAAGAGAGCACTGCCTCAGAAAATGAAGGTTTGCACCCAATCTGGGGTAGGCCAACCTTGAATGCAGGTGCCAACCAGGTGGGCGGCCCTTGGTACTCACCTCTTCCCTTTCCCAGGTTCCATGGCTGGACCTGACCCAACAGACCCAGTGACTTGCAGCAGCACCTGGCCACCCACTAAGGAGGGACGAGGTAGAACATTGTGCTGGCTAAAACCTGCTCACTTCCTCTCTGACACCTCTCCACACATGAGGATGGTAAGTGTCATGGACACTAGAGCAGGTGAGAGAGGAGACAGGTGGTGAGACAAACACTGAGATTTGAAAAGCAAAAAGTGTTTTATTGTTACTAATGGTGTTGGGGTGGCAGACAGTGAGACATGATTCAGGCAGAAAGAGCAAAAGAGATGGCATTGCAGAGCTGCCCTTCTCTCTGCAGAATTTAAGTGTCAAATGTGCTGCTTCGTGTCCACATGTGTGGATGTAAAGGACTTCAAGCTTGATGCTTCAGCATCCCAGCCCCAAAAACTGGTCAGACCAAATGTGCTACCAAAGCTGCTTATTGAGTGAGCCTGCATATCCAGTACATGAGTGTGAGCCTTAGAACAGGCAATAGGCTACGTCCTGTGGCTACCCACAACCTAGGGTTCATCCTGGGAACTGCCGAGGCTATACCTCAATACAATCCATTAGGAGGGAGCCTCAGGAAGTCTGGAGCCCCTGATGCGTATTTTATCCCAGTGGTTCTCAACTGGGGCAATTGTGCCTCCACGCCCCCCAAACCTTGGCAATGTCTTGGTGACATTTTGATTGCCATAACTGGAGAAGGGAGAAAGTGTTACTGGCATTTAGTACATAGAGGAAAGGATACTACTATAGTGTACAACAATAAACAGGACAGTTCCCACTTGAGAGATCCTGATCTAGTCTGTAGACTCTACCCTCCCTCCCACAGGAAGAACCCCACCAAGTGTTCAGTGACGACCATCAAAGCACTCAGCAGTAGGGCAGGCCCTTTGTGCAGTGAGAACCTGAACCACCCCTCAGAGCAGTAGAGAGAAAGAAACCTAAACACAGGAAGCTGAGATCCAGAGGTAGCTGTGGCAGGTTGAAAAAGGCATGTTTAAATATCCTAAGGCTGTGAATGGGAAACAATAAGAAACTTACACCCATGACCTAAACAGTTTAAAATGGCAGTATTAATGAGGCTTTGCAGTAAGACTGCCAACCAGAGCTGCAACTTTACATTGAGAAATACCGTACTGAGCAGAAGGCGGCACTCACAGCCCTACAGAGCCAAATTGGCATTCAGGAAGCTCAAGAGGGGTAAGCAAGGGGCCAAGAGAGCTGGAGGAGGCTGAGGAGGGAGTGGGCACACCTCTAATGAGGGTGAGATGACCCGACTCCCTCAGCAGCCACATGCACATTCCACTCCCAAGAGGGTAAAACACCAACCTGGCAAAGATGCACTCATCTCAATGTCTCAGCACAACCCCTTGCCCCTGGGAAAGCAGTCGCGTCACTCCAGCAGCCACAGAGCTGAAGCCCAAGGACACAGTGCCAGGCGCAAGCACTTGCTTTCTTTTTCAGTTCTGCCTGGACTCCTGGCTCAACACATGCAAGTTGGGGCTGCAACTCTGCTCGACATTGCTGTTTCCAAATGCCAGCCTTTGACATTTCACTTCCCATAAGATTACACCCAATAATTTCTGATTTACATTCCTATGGATTTTTTTTCTTTTTTCTTTTTTAACTAATGAAGCAAATTCAACTCAGAGCAGGGATTTGAAAAGCACAGCTAGGAGCTTTTTGTTTGCCACGAAGAATGCCCTGATTATCCCACAATAAAACAAGCCACTGCAGAATGAGAATATATCCAGCCAGGAAATGGGACGTGAGGAAAAGCATCTGGGCACATACAGCCTGGCCTGGAACAGCTGCTCCCATGGGGACTCGCCTCTCTTGGAAAAACCGCCCTCCCCGTCCCCCAACAGCAGGTAAAAGGTATTAAGATTTAAACGTGTGTCTATATTCTTAGCGCTGTACCCTGTGGGTGGGTCCAGGATCGAGATCTTGTGTGTTCTTCGTACTTTACAGAGTCTGTCAAAAGATGAAGGCATGAGCCAAGGTTTTTCCCACCTGTAAACACAAATGCACTTGATGCTAAGTTTACCTTTACAAGATGCCTGGCAAGTTCACTCAGCCCAAAGCACAATTCCAATGAGGTTGAAAGGTGTTCCTAAGCCTCTCCTTTAAGGGACACATGCCACCTTACTACAAGTGAACATACACTAGTCAGTCACCTTACCTTTGTTGTTGGCAGCTGGCTGACACCATCAGCATGCTCTGCGCGTGCAGACTGCTCTGGGGCCTGAGTGGAGTCGTGCCTGCATTGGTTGGGGGGACCACAGTGCGAGGAGAGAACAGGGAGTGTGCAGAGATGCAGGAAGATGAGGAAGGTGGCCCTCTGGCCAGGAGAAGAGGCAAGGAGAGGATGCTGGCAGCACCCATGGTCCACAAGCACCATTCCTCTCCACCTCGAACTCCCAGGACTCCAAGAGTCACCCCAGGAACCTCTCTAGCCACCCTCTGACTGCTCCACCCAGCTCAGCAGGCATATCTTGTTTTTGCCACAGTTACAGTATGTCCCACAATTCCATATCCTCAGCCCTGGGGAGTTCAGGGGGAGCTCTGAGACATTAACTTGCCCAGTGCAGACAACTCAGGCTGTGGAGTGACTTCTCTAAGAACACCTGAGCCTTCAAAGCCACGGTTTTCTGGGTATTTCAATACAAAAATATATGCACTCATTTTATTCATCAGAGTTCCTTAAAAGAGGTAAATCAACTATGTTATTAACCCAAATATTCAACAAACATGGCCACTGTGCCAGCCATGGTCCCACAACACAGCCTTAGGCAAACATGGTCCCTGCCCCTAGGAAGCTACATCTTAATGGGGTGACAAGCCCGACTTCATTTACAGAACTAGCTGTGTAAAGTTGTGAGGGTGGCTATGGCAGAGCTGGACAAGTGCTGGGGGAACAGAGCAGCCCCCTGGCTGCTGTGGTCCACCCACAGCATGGGTTGGTGAGGGGCTTGGAGGGAGCGTTGGAGGGCTGTAGTGCTGTTCAGGGAGGGTGATGGAGGCTCAGATGGTGCTGCAATGGCCAGGAGAGGGATACTAAAGTTCAAAAAGTGAAATGTAGTAAGAGCTAATCACGCAAAACTTGAAAGCATTTTTTTTAAAGTTTTGCTTTGCTCTATGTTTCAGATTCAACGCAGCAGCCTTCATGAGCCAGAAGGAAAAACCAGTCATTTTGAAATCAACATCCTAGGAAGGATAGAAAGAATTCTGGAGTTTGGAAATGGCAACAACAGATGATCTCACACACACACACACACACACACACACACACACACACACCCCTACTTCTCCATCACATGCTTTATGTGAAATGGCAGCCTCCGCCAGCAACTCACGGCAGCTTTGATGACTTAAGGCAAATGCAGTGCTCTTGAGATCACACTGCTCTTATCCACTTCATCAACAAAGGTTCACTGAACACCTACTGTGTGCCATACATTTCTCCCGGGCACTGGAGAGACAGCAAAGAGCAAAACTGAGCCCATGTCCTCAAGAAGCCCACATTTTAGTGGAGTAGAAAGACCCCCCCCCCCCAAAAAAAAATAGAAACCAGATAAAAGTTACAGTGTGTCATATGGTGATAATCACTGTGAGAAAAATACAGCAGGGAAGGGAGAGGGGAGTATCTGGATGGGGTTGGTGTAAATGTACGCAAACAGAGAAGCCCTCACTGGGAAGGTGACATCTGAGGATGTGGGGAAAGCCCTCAGGACACCTGGGGAGAGCTTTCTCCACAGAGGACTAGCCAGTGCCAAGGTCCCAAGGCTGCAGCAGCTCTAGACTCACAGCAGGCCTATCCCTCCAGACAAACCCCTGGGTGCCAGGCAGGGACCTCAGCACCCCTGAAACACCCCTTCTGGCACCTCTACCCACAGGAGTGGGAGCCTGAGAAACAGGGCTGCCCATGAGGACCCAGGCACCTCCTGTCTGATGACAGCCTAACCAAGGCTGTACTGTCCAGCATCAGTCCAAGGCTGAGATGCTAGTCACTAGACCACCACCGCTGCAAAAGCACCCAGCAGTGTCCCCTGCACTCCACACTATGGGCACGATGACACAGGAACAAGTCACGAGCAGCCTTCCTCCTTTGTGGGATTCCTTCCTGCCTCCGCCACATGAGCCAGCCAAGCACCTCAGCGCAAGACCAGTCTCAGGGACTCTCCCAGATGGAGATGTTTACAGGGTAGACTCAGTGCTTCCTGCTCTCTCTTCCCACAGGCATAACTCACTAGCATGGGTATGTTTAATAAATAGTTTTACTTCTGCAATTAAAGAAACTGGTGGTTGCAATATTACCTTGTAAAGCATTTAAGCATCAATTGTGAAGTGAAAAGAAAAAGAAAAAAGCCCTCTTCCAGTATGAAAACTCCAAATGTTTATTTATACTTTAGGTGTTATTCTAAAAGGCTAATTTTAAAAAACATCTTGAGAAGGAATTGAGCTGCACAAACAGCATCTGACACCTCCAGGATCTGGAATACACTTGCTGACCAGTGGTCATGTGTGGCAGTGAGGGCTCCTTGAGCATCCCCATCCAGCCTGCCAGCCCACAGGTCCTGTGGGTGAGTCATTCCCTCCCAGCACACCTCTATTGTACTTCTGGTTCCTCAATAGCTTCTGAAATTTCAATCTCGGGAGAGAAAAAAAAAAGTAAACCCTCATCCAGGGGATATGTTCAGAGGGAGAGGGGGAGGGAGGGAGGGCAGGGATATGTTCAGAGGGAGAGGGAGAGAGAGAGAGAGAGAGACAGATACACACTTGGATAGGTGCCTCCCCATATGAATGCCGATGGGGGATCGAACCTGCAACCTTTTGGTGTACAAAACGACGCTTCACCAACTGAACCACCTGGCCAGAGCTCTCTGGAAAAATTTAAAGCAACAAAACCCTAAGTGTGCCATTCATTTATCCCTGTCCTCCCTAATAAAATGGAGCTGGTCACAGAGACATTCTCAACTACACAGCCCTCTGCCTGGTCCTGTAGGCACCGAGTTACCATGAGAGCTATGATCACTGGCCTTTCTTACACACAGACATGCATGCATCCCACCCCAAATGCAAGCCCTTCAGGGCCACCCGTGGCTCTCCATGGCCACAGCCCTACATCAATGCCACGTCTTTCCCACCAGGAGTCTCCCACAGGCTGTGCCCCAGCCCCACTCTTCCTCCCCTACTTCCCACTAACAGCACCACATCCATCTCTCTACTTCCCCTCCGATCGGACCCCTGCTGTGCTTCTCTCTCTGACCTCCTATGTGCTCTCAGGACAAGCTTCTGTAACTTCATTGCCACTGAGAATTGGGGGAGGTGTGCCAAGGGCACAGTGCTATCAAGAACAAGGAAGGACGCCTGTTCTCAATGACCTTGGTTAGGAAGCGTCAGTCATCGATATCGGCACCTTTGGAGTCTCTGGAAAAGTGGGCCTCACCATGTCCCACAACTCCACTCAAGGTAAACCTTCTACACCCTCTGAGTGTGTCATGGTGAGCCTGTAAGCAGGACTGCCACCTGCTGTGCTCACTCCACCTTTTCAGAGCAGGCACATGGGGGTTTGGAGACCATGACAACCACCCCTTTGCAAGCGCATCTCTGACAGGAAGACAAAGACAAGTTTCAAACCACTGACTTCCAAATGAACTTGAAGTAGAGTCATATGTAAACTGGGCATTTTCTGTAGATTTCAATTTATTTCACACAGTTTGTAAATAAGAACTTAAGAGTTTTAACTTCTTTGACTTTTTGAGTACTGGGTTCAGCAGTCTCCTCTTAGAAGTAGAAACTCTCAAGGGAAAATTACTTTGAGATCAAATTACATTTTCATAGCCACCAAAAACATATCAAAGCGCAATTTAATTATGGAATACCTTGCTTAGCCACTGAGAGAGTTTAGGAAAATACCAGCATCAAAATATCCAGTATCCAATATTCAAATCCGGTAAAGGTAGCAAACATTTTGGCTGACAAATAGATTGAAATGCAAATGAATTTGGGGCAAGGAAACAAATGACCCAAGGATATTTTTGGATTTCTTTTTCCCCATGCAATCAAGTCTCACAGTAGACACCTCGCCCCCTCCATAGCTGCAGACAACAGCTTCCATCACCCTTAAAAGATTAACTGCCAGGCAGATGGAAGCTGATTTTACAATACAGACCCATGTTCTTTAAATGGCACACCTCCCCCAATTCTCAGTGGCGATGAAGTTACAGAAGCTTGTCCTGAGAGCACATAGGAGGTAAGAGAGAGGAGAGAGGGCTGTGTTGCACTGGGCAGATAAGGACGTGAGCCCTGAGTCAGCGCCAGGAGGCCAAGGAGTTGAATTTGGGAGTAGAAGATTGACTGATGTTTCTCAGATCCCCCTGCATCTTCATCTGTCTCTGTATCTTTCTCTCTTTAGGATGGATAAAATGCAAATTAAGCAAGGATTTCATATGAAGACTGAGCTTGGGGATGTTGAAGCTAGACTCAGGGTCAGTGCACTGAACAGTCTTTCATTCTGAGGAAGCCTTTAGATCTGCACAGGGACCAACGATTCAAAGCTAGAGGCCTATATACCTCAGAGAGTTCAGCAGCTACAACTGGATTCTTTAAATGTGTCCTGGCTCTTAAGAGTTCTTTTAAGTTTCTACAGACCTGCTGAGGAAGAATCTAATTGTAGGATAGCACACGAGTGGAGCTCCAAAAGCTTAATCACTAGTTACTAAACTGTGTAAGCCTTTTGCATATGAACGAGTCATGGGTCTCGGATAGACAATCACAGTTACAGGTACAAGTAGAGGAGGGTTATTGCTGAACTGTTAGAACCGCACTCTGCCAAGCTGAGCACTGATCCTCACTCGCTGCCTCACCTTGAACAAGTTATGTCATCTCTCTGTGGCTCAGACCCTCTACTCATAGTCAGGGATAAGGAGAACGGGAACTCCCAGGCTTGCTCTGAGGATTTAACGAGGGAACGATGAAAAGTACTCACGCTGACTGGAAGGGAGCGTGCCAGGAGCACTTTTAACATTCAATAGCACAGAAGACACAGACACAAACTTTCTCCAACCAGGGACCATCAAATCATAAAATAAGCCCCTCAGGCCCTTTCCAAGTGTTGTTTATTCATCTGTAACTAAAACCGAGTTAATTATATACTGTATTACGAGGCCCAATTCTAACTGTGAGTCAGAGAAAACAATATAGGAAGGCTGAGCTCCCCTAACACACCAGCAGAGGAATCAACATCAAAATCAGGGCCTTGTATGGTCAAGATACTGTCACAAAGCTTAGGGCTCCAGCCAGCAAGAGGAACGTGCCCAAATTCAAGAAAGTTAAGCTGCCTTTAGGTGCTGCCTGGGTGGAGTGTGCTCTGGAGGTGTGAACGCACCAGGACAGGTGCCTTCCTCTGGGACCCTGTGTAAAAGGGTGGGAGGCTGCCATCAAATCCAACCAGCTCATCCCTCAAGGGACTCTGCTCTCAGGTCGGCTGTGCTCACTGACAAAGAACTTTCTAAGAACTTTCTTTCGCCCCAAGAATTTCACAAAGCGAGGCCCAGCACAGAACACCAGTCAATGGTAGGGACAGTGACCATGGCTGCCTCTCCCATACCCAGACTCTTTTGAGCATTTTGCATATATATTATTACAGTTACTCTTCAAAACAACTCTTGGTGTGAAAACCACTGGCATTCTTTTCACAGATGGGGACACTGAGGCACAGAGCAGGTCCTTGTCCATAGTCATATGCTCACCCATATTCAAACTCCTTGCCTCAACCCCTTCCAGTTAGTACCAGTTAGTAGAGAGTCTGGGTGATGCTGATACTCTGTGTCAGCAGGGACCGAGGAAGGGGGGCCCTAACTGGCAGGGCCTTCCTGGGAAGCAATTAGGAATCACCACCATATCATTCCTTGGGCTCTTGCCCTTCGGACCTGGCACATTCGTCTACACAGAATCCCGCTGAAACAGTCAGAAATTCAGAATAAGACTTATATTAAGGAAACATTCGTTAAGAAATGACTCCTAATAACTGGAAACGGCTTATGTAAATGTCCACCAGTAGAACAATGGCTACTCTGGTTCACTTAGAGCAGTGGTTCTCAAACTTCCTAATGCCATGACCCTTTTAATACAGTTCCTCATGTTGTGGTGAACCCCAATTTCATTGTTACAAATTGAACATAATTAAAGCATAGTGATTAATCACAAAAACAATATGTAATTATATATGTGTTTTCCGATGGTCTTAGGCGACCCCTGTGAAAGGGTCATTCGACCCCCAAAGGGGTCGTGACCCACAGTTTGAGAACCGCTGACTTAGAGAGGAGTACTAGGCAGTGTTCAAAAATGTGAAGTGAAAAAAAAAGTGAAGTGAGCCCAGCCAGCGTGGCTCAGTGGTTGAAAGGCTATCTATGAACCAGGAGGTCACAGTTCATTTCCCGGTCAGGGTTGCAGGCTCAATCACCAGTGTGTGGGGGGCGTGCAGGAGGCAGCCAATAAATGATTCTCCGTCATCACTGATGTTTCTCTCTCTCTCTGCCTCTCTCTTACTCTCTAAAATCAATAAAAACAAGTATATATTTTTAAAAGTGAAAACAGCAGGAGACAAAACAGTCAGGTATACAACAGAGGTCCCAATCTGGTTAAAAGAAGACAGAAAGGAAACAATGATGACCTGTGGGTGAAGGAGCGACAGACCACCCAGCTGATCCCCTGTAACTATTAACCTTGATAGCTACAAAGGACAAAGTGTGACATGGGCAGGATCAGCAGAAACAGCAGGGGAGCTCCCTGTAGACGAACATCTCTGAGGGACTATATCCTTGCCCACCTGCCTACTCACTGGGGACACCATATGGGGCCCACAGACCTTCTGAACTCACTTCCAAGTTCATCAGTTCCTATATTCAGGAAGGACTCAGATGTATAAGGAGTATTTGCTAGTGGGCAGATGAATAAACTAGTATTTTTAGACACAGATCCTATGTGAGGTGCAGAAACCATTAAGTATCAGTGGGGCCTGGCATGGAAATCCTACTAGTGCTTTTCAAGCCTGTCATCCTGGAGCTGCATCAGAAAAAAATAGCAGCACTTCAAAGATAACTCAATCCATGTACTTAAGATTCCATACGTGTTAAAAGCTTTACTCAGTAAAATCTACTTGTTGGTCAGAAAACAACATTGGCAATCACTTGCCACCCTTTTATTTTGAATCCTCATTCTAGGATATATTTTTATTGATTTGGAGAGAGAGGGAGACAACAGAGAGAGAGAAATTGATGTGAGAAACATTGATTGGGTGCCTCCCGCTCGGGCCCTGACTCAGGATGGAACCCACAACCTAGGTTTGTGCCTTGTCCAGGAATCGAAACCCTCGACCTTTTGATGTATAGGATAATGCTCCAAACAATTTAGCCACCTGGCCAGGGCAGTCACTTGCCTTCCATTTTGCTAAAATTAACAATGTAACATATTAAAATTGACAACTAAAAGAAAAGCTGAGTTTCTAATTTAAAGGCATGTTCAT